AAATGCCTGGTATTGGAAGATATCGTTGTAGTCTGGAGATTTTTTTTTTGGGCAGAATCCGTCTGGTTAAACTTGTTCCTCAAAGGCAAAGGTATAAACTCTTTCTGCCTACTTTGGACCAGTCAGTGGATTCTGTGTCTCTTTGTGGTATTTTAGCATGTTGTTAGCTTTGTATTCTCTAGAATATTTCTGTACCTAAAAATGTGCCCTGCAGAATTAATTTCCTTTATGGACTTAACTTTAGACATTTCCTCTAAAGTCCTCTGTTGTCAGAGCTCTGGCCATTGTTATTAAATCCTAGATTTTTAGTGCTGATAGTTCCTTTATAAACAGAATAAGAATGGAGGTTTTGGAGATCATACAGTCTAGCTATTTCAGGTAAAGAAACAGGCTGAGAAGTGAAGGGACCTTCCCAAGGTCTGCAGTTAATAGCAGGGTTGGGACTAGACCTCAAGCCCCTGTTAATACTTTTCTTTTTCCAGTCTGATTTTGCCCTCTGTCTCAGAGCTCAGATGATGTTTTATACTTAGCAGGGGCACTGGGGTCTGGGCTCTAACCCATTTCTTTTTCTTCCTTCTTTCCTTCCTTCTTTCCTTCCTTCCTTCCTTGTTTATTTTTGAGAGAGAGAGAGTACGTGTGCATGAGTGGGGCGGGAGGTAGACAGAGGATCCAAAGCTCTGTGCTGATAGCAGAGAGCCCGACATGGGCCTCGAACTCACCAACTGTGAGATCATGACCTGAGCCAAAATTGGATGCTTAACCGACAGAGCCACCGAGGCACCCCCAACCCATTTGTTACTAAGAGTCTGTTTACTGAGTCCTTTTTGGCCCTCCCTGTTATGTACTCTTGGATTCAACCAAGCCAGAATTTCGACTTAATTGAAAACAGTGTGGAAGCTGTATTGATTCCAAATGGGATCTCTGGGCCTTGTACCAGAAGGGAGGCACTTTAATCTTTCAGAGACCATTTTTGGTAAACATTTAAATCTCTTTTGACTCTAGCTATTTTCTCAACTTACACCTTTGAGGTTCCCTATGACATGAAATTGTTGAAGTTCCGTTCTCTTCTGACTTTCCAAAATTTCTGCATTGTGAATTTTAATAATTGGAAAAAAAAAAAAAACCTTTCAAGTTAAAAAAAAAAATTATAAATGTAGGAAACATTCTAAAGCAGAACACAGCTCACTCATTTTGCTCGGGACCTTTGTTCTGTCCCCAGCACTGATGTGCTGGTGCTGTGACCTTACTGAGCTGTTCCCTTATTAGCCCCCACCCCCTCCCCCCTGCCCGGAGATAAGGCTTGTGTTAAAAACCAACAAAAAAATCTTAAGGAGGGATTGTATGTAACACCATTCTAGCATAGTCTCTGGCTTCCCACCTCACTCAGAATGGAAATCAGCATCCTTAAAAGGGCCCACAAATGCTCCTCACCTCTCTGACCTCACTTCTAGGTTTCTCCTTATTCATCACGCTTCAGCCCCACCACTCCCTTTGCTGGTCTCCTAATACTCCCTTTGCTGAGCTCCTGATGCATTTTGCACTTGGCTGTTCGTGTTATATAGACACTCTTCCCCTAGATACTGAATGATTCCTCCTTTACCTCCTTCACTCCTTCCGATTGTCCGTTTCTCCGCTTCTCCATAAGGCCCTCCCTGCCAATCCCATTTAAAATTGCAGCTCCCACCCAAGCATTCCTGTCCTGAGTCCCCTTCTCTGCTGTTCTTCCTCCATAACACTTGCCACATTCTAGCGTAGCACTTGTTTTTAAAGAGCTCTCCAGGTGATTCCTACCTGTAGCACTGGGGACCTCTGCCACACATGTTGCTTTACGAGGTGTTACTTAGGAGACATCTAGCAGAAGCAGGACTTTCAGCATCAAGAATGAATTGTGAGTTCTTTGTTGTAGCTTCAAGCCAAAATACTTTTCACATAATAGAACAAGTCTCTTGAATTAAACCATCTAGTGGCTAAACATTGTTTCCCACTCATCAGAAAGGTTCTTGGCAGTTGTAATAGCAGTATATTCCTGTATGTAACTGATCTTGAGGGCCGTATGTCTTATAATCTGAAGCTCTTTTGATTTTTTTTTTTCGTATTGAACTTGTAATATTTAAACAAAAAAGTGTTTAAGATTTGAGAGAAAATAGTTGATTTTAGTGACCTTCTTCCTTAAAAATGGTTCAGCACTGGATAACCTGTGTATAATTAGGTCCGCTTTAGAATGTTTCCTACATTGGGCTGCCTGATTGGCTCAGTCGGTTAAGCGTCCTACTTTGGCTCAGGTCATGATCTCACAGTCTGTGAGTTCAAACCCTGCGTCAGGCTCTGTGCCGACAGCCCGGAGCCCAGAGCCTGCTTCGGATTCTGTGTCTCCTTCTCTCTCTGCCCCTCCTCAACTTGTGCTCTGTCTCTCTATGTCTCTCAAAAAATAAATAAATGTAAAAAAAGAAAAAAGTGTTTCCTACATTTTTAATTTTTTAACATTTTTTTCTCAATTATTAAGGTTTTTTTTTCAATTATTAAAATTACACAGTATAGAAATTTTGGAAATTCAGGAGAATAATAGAATGTGGGAGTCTCTCAAAGTTGACTACTGTTGACACTTGTTTGTTTCCTTCTATTTTTTACATTGCTGTGATCCCATTTCTGGTACAGGATGGGGGTGGGGGTAGTGATGTAATCTGAAAAGTGTAATGGAGAAAATATTCCCACCACAAAGAATTAAGTGCTGTTAACAGTTGTAGATGTTTGCTTCCAGTTTCCTATGTGCACACTTTGAAAAAAAAAAACACAAGTACTTTCTCTCTTTATCTCTTTTTAAAAGGAATATAGTGTTACAGATAGATTCATCTTTAATCACCATTCCCATTCTGTTCCCTGTTCCCACCATGACCTTGACCCTGCACCCTCACTGAAATAATTACTTTTTAAGTTTAGTATATATGTTGGTTCAGTACAGTTTTCTATACTTGTTACCATAGAGATATGTAGTGTTGCTTTGTTTTAGTTCATCTAAATGTTATCATGCTGTAAATTCATACAGCTTTTTTTTTCTCCCCTTAGCGATGGGTCTATCCAAGTTGATACTTACTGATCTAGTTCATTACCTTGGCTTTATCAGACTCCCAACATGTGGATATTACTACAGTTCCCCTAGTCCCTTTTGATAGGATTGCATTAGGTTTTTGGCTTTTATAAATAAAGCTGCAATGAATATCCTCATGGGTCTTCTTGAACACATTTATTAGTGTTTTTCTAGGGTCATACAGAATTTTTATCCTCTTAACATTAAGACATGAACGTTTGTATTGGCTTAGTTTAATCTCTTCAATAAACACAGACTTCTTAAATCTAGACTTGGAAGCATCTTATTTCCTTAATGAAAAATTAATATGAAATAGTAATTGGACACAAGGCATTTCTTTTTGCATTAGAGTAATTTAAACATTGCTTGAGCTCTCTTAACAGCAGTTAAGAACATGAAGCCATTCCAACACAAAAAAATGTAAAAACCATTAAAAAAAGTAGAAACATAGTTAGTATTAGAGTGACTAGAGCAAGTGAAGACTATGGAATACCTGGGATTTTGTATTATTAACCCCGTTTTCTAAGTCTAGAGAAGGTTGTTAGATTTTCCCAGGTAATGACCTTTGTTGGAACTCGTCCCTGAGGATCCTCCTCTGATGCCACTTCTCTGCATCTCTCCTGGTACCTTCCTCTTTCCCTCCAGCTGTGTCCGTTCTTTGTGCATATTTGCACTTACTTCCTTGTGTCTTGTCTCAGTGCTGTGCTGACGTCCAGGAGAACAGTGTACTGCCTTACTTATCTCATACCCTGAACAAGCACAGTGCCTGACACGTAGGTGTTGACCGAATACATTGTGAATGAGGGAAAGAGAAACATACGAGGTGGGGGTGAGGGAGGGTGGGATTGAGAGGGACACAATGATAGTCACTTTAATAGGGAACTTCAGTTTATCAAAAGAATGGAATAAAGTCTTGAGATGATATGGATGATAAAATGACGGCTCTGACAGTGGACCTCTGCTTTCGCGTATTGTCATTTGCATATATACAAACTGATTCAGTCACTGGTTTTAATTAGACTAAAAACTAATTTCTCCTTGGAATGTAAACGTCAATATATATGTTAAAGTCTAGGGGCGCCTGGCCGACTCAGTAACACATGCGATTCTTGATCTCAGGGTTGTGAGTTTGAGCGCCACGTTGGGTGTGGAGATTGCTTAAAAATAAACTTCATAAGTCCCTGCTTACTTTTGTTAGTCTCTACTTGTTCTTCTAGGGATATATCAAAAAACTTGAATCCCTGACAGAGCCATCTTACAGATTTTTCTTTTTTAATTCCTTGCCTCATTTCTTGGTTGCCCCAATTTTAGTCAAAACTGGGTTTCCTGGAATGAGTAGACTAAAGTTAAATATTTTGGTCACTGTGATGAAATCCTTTGTGGTTTGGTAGCGGTATTCCTTTAGTGTTTCAACAGCTTCATTCATGTTCCGCACCCAGTGTGGTGGTATGATACCGGTAACTGAGCTTCAGAAGGAGAAGTTTAAATGCAGAACCTCCAAATTTAGAGACTGAACAATAAAACTTGGGCGGGAAGTCAGGGTAGCTTTCTTAACTTGCTGATAAAAGTAATCAGTACTAGGTATAACCCACTTAGAACTACAAATTTTTTTCGCAAGTACCTTCATAGCTCAGAAAACAATTTCTCTTAATGATTATTTTGTATAAGAAGCTGCATTGCTTTCAAAGTTTGCTCATTGTTTTTTAATAGAACTCTGATAGAACCCTGTGTTTTAAGTAAGTGACACTGTCAGATCATATAGTATTAACAGTAACCAAACATCTAAGATTAAAAGTAATGAGTTATGGGTATCATCACCTTTTTCTAATAATGAAATTGTTTCCAGTACTAAAATACTTTAAAACGAATTGTTCTCTGGATACTTTTTGCTGCTAATTAACATCTCTTTTTACAGGATTCATGAATAAAATTTTCCATCCCAACATTGATGAAGCGTAAGTAACTATTTAAAAATGTTTAAATCTTAGCAGCAACTGCCCTTACTAGCATTCATCTCTCTCTCTCCATTATTTAAAAAAAAAAAAAAAAAAAAAAAAAAAAAGCGCCTCAATTATCTTTCTAGATTTTATCAACAGAGAGGACCATATGGTCACTTAAACTGTAGAGTCCCAGGGATATGATATTTTAAACCACTTTAGTGCACATTCTGCTGTTGGGCTGCTTAGTTTTCCCATTGCCGTGAGTAGGTCCTTTATTCCCCCTGATACCCAGCTAGCATGTGTAATATTCCACATCTCTTTTCTCTTTGCATAGACACAATTCAGAGATCTAAGTTTTCTGTATACAGATTCACTATTTTCAGCCCTTAAAGTGTTTCTTAGTTCTTGAGAGTAAAGCAAACATGAATGACTGTGGTTTCATTTCAGTTAATGAGTCTTACGTACCCTTTCTTTCCTTCTAATATTTTATTAGTGATATTTTAAAATGTGCCTCCTATTGTGTATTTCTGATGCTGTTTACAATACATGCTTTTTTTGTTCTGCAGTCTTGTCGTGGCTAAATTTTGCTGTTACACACACACACACACACACACACACACACACGAGGTATTCTGAACTCTGTGTGAGTAGGTTGTATACACACATCATGCCCTACTGCCTTTTTATACTTGTGTGTATCAGTCATCCTAACAACAAAGATGTTTTGTTACATAAGCACAGTGTACTCGCTGGGTTCAGGAATTGAGTGTCAGTTTTAATCTACTGCCACATTCCAGCAGTGTACCTTTTGGGCACTTATTTTCCCCCCGTAAGTAAAATATCCAGTCCGTGATCATGTATTGCATTTACTTGTTTCTTTAAACTGCTTTAATTACACATTTCTTTAAAATACTTTAATCTGGAATAGTTCCTCAGTTTTTATAAAGTTGACATTTTAAAAAAGAATATAGATCGGTTATTTTAAAGACCATCCCTCAATTTGGGGTTGTCTGATGTTTCCTCATCATTAGATTCAGAATATGTACTTAAGACCAGAAAACCACAAAGTGTAATTGTGTCCTCAGGCTACTGGGGAGGTACACAGGTTTGTCTGCCCCTGGTTGCCAGTGTTAATTCCAATCACCTGGTGAAGGTGTTGTCTGATTTCACCGTTGTATACTTGCTGATTTTTCCTTTTAATCTCTAAGGAAACAGTAAGACTTTTTATATATTCTGCTCTTCATCATACTTCCCTAATTGGGATGTTTTTTCTTTTCTTCCTTCCTTCCTTCCTTCTTTCCTTCCTTCCTTCCTTCCTTCCTTCCTTCCTTCCTTCCTTTCTTTCTTTTCTTTCTTTCGTACTATTCTTAATAAATAAAATTAGTTGCCAGGTACATGCAACTAGCTTTCTAATTTTTAAAAAAATGCCATTCTTTCCATCTGTTTCAGGTCAGGAACTGTGTGTCTAGATGTAATTAATCAAACTTGGACAGCTCTCTATGGTGAGTTTGGCCATGGAATATTTTTTAGAGATGTTGAGATACTGCCTAAAAAATGTTGTTTGCCTTTTCTTTGGTTTAAGATGTTTTGTTGGGAATGGGAAGGGATTAAGAGGGCCTGGATGGGAATGTTTGATCAGTGAAAAAAATATTTTCTCTCAAGTACAAACTTTGACTTAGCAACGGAAGTTTAAGATAATCTTGTGAGATTTTGAACTTAAGGTATAGTGATGTACATATGCAGACATACAAATAAACATGTAAACATATGTGTGTGTTCAGAAGCACATTGTATACATGTTTACCTGTAATCCCTTTGACTTTTGGGAAAATTCCTAACAATGTCCCTGTGAAGTGAGATGGTGCATTAACAGGTTTGGGGAGTCCTCTGTTTTGAAGGCCAAAACCTCATTATGAAGCCTTGCCTCAGTGCTGAAATCAACATCTCCTCTCTTATAGTGAACCAACCTGTGAATTGCACAGCTTTATGCAGTACAATGCTCAGCGTCACAGAGATATGTAAGGAATATCAGGCCCTTTCTGCCTGAGCTTGTAACTTGGTTGGGGAGCTACAAATATGTGCAAATCCATGTAAATTAATTAGGGATACAACAGATCAGTCTGTATTCCCCCACGTGTCCAGGCTGTCAGGCGCCATGGGCCTCTTTGCTCTCGTGCCCCCCCCCACCCCACCCCGTGAGGCTTCCCCTGATGCTCCAGCTGCAATTGATCCCTGCACACCCCTACATTTGATAGCTTTTTGTGGCCCATTTTTACTTCTTACCTGTGTGTGTCGTTCATGCCCACTTTTTTGTGCCACTAGATTGTTTCCGGTCATAGGGGTCTCGGGTGCACGTCTGGTGTCCGTGTCCCAGCACTCCCTAGCAGAGCCTCGTACCCATATGCAGTGAAAGAGTCAGTGGTGCAGGCAACAGTCCCCAAGAGGTTCAAGAAAGTCACCTTAGGCAGGGCTTGACCGGAGGGAGCCTTTCTTACTGAAGAATTAGGAGACCTTTTTATTCCAGCCACAGTCTGCAGACTACTTTGCCAGACATCCCTGTACTAGGACGGTGCATGAGACTCACAGTGGAAGGCTGGTCACCAGCAGCACACAGTTAATCCTTCTTTCGTGTTTTCTCCTCCTGATTCTGCCATTTAAGAATCATTTCCTGGGGCGCCTGGGTGGCGCAGTCGGTTAAGCGTCCGACTTCAGCCAGGTCACGATCTCGCGATCCGTGAGTTCGAGCCCCGCGTCAGGCTCTGGGCTGATGGCTCAGAGCCTGGAGCCTGTTTCCGATTCTGTGTCTCCCTCTCTCTCTGCCCCTCCCCCGTTCATGCTCTGTCTCTCTCTGTCCCAAAAATAAATAAATGTTGAAAAAAAAAAAAAAATTAAAAAAAAAAAAAAAAAAAAAAAAAAAAAAGAATCATTTCCTCTGCCTGGAGTTACCCTCCCTGGTCTTTGTATGGCTGGCACCTTCTTTTCTCACCTCAGTCATCTCTCAGAGAAGCCTCCTTTCCTAGCTACTCCATCTAAAACAACGTTCCTCCATAGCATAGCAGCCTGTTTTAAAAACCTGTGTTTAAAGCCAGCATTTGTTTATCATTTATCTTATTAGACTGTAAGCTCCACAAGAGCAGGGGCTGTGTGTGTACACACATGTATACAAGTGCCTGAAACAGTGCCTGGTGTACAATAAGGGTTCAGATATTTGTGGAATTATTGACTGAATTAATCACGCCTAGTACAGTGAAACATGAGAATTTTAGGGATACAACGGCTTATGAGGAGATGAGGCAACAAGAAAGAACATATACTCTGAGGCTGGTTAAATGGATTCCTTTCAAGATGTGTTTTTGGTAAAAATGTCTCATGGCAGACTGCCTGGAATAGCTGATGTAATGATGTATTTTCTTAAACTGCATTCACATTTTAGAAATGTACATAACAAAATACTACGAGCTGGTTCCAATTACAGTAAAGTAAATTGGACTTCAACTAATTCTTTTACTGTTGACCAGAAAAGCTTTGTGGAAGAGATTTGCTGATTCTCAAGTACTTCACATCTCAGAACAGATTTTTGAAAAACAACAGCTTATTGAATTATAACTCACATACATGATATTCACCCATTTAGAGCATGTAATTTGATAGTTTTTAAACAAAGTCACAATTACGTACAGCCATCTCCACATTCTCATCAAAGAAGATTTTCTTCACCTTAAAAAAAAAAAAAAAACCCATACCCTTCAGCTGTCACCCCCTCATCCCCTTAACCTTCCTCCCCGAACCCTAGGTAATGACTGATCTACTTTTTGTCTCTACAGATTTGCCTATTCTGGAATTTTTATAATGGAATCTATGATATGTTGTCTTTTGTGACTGGCTTTTTTGAGTTCACATAATGTTTTTAAGATTCATCCATGTTGTAGCACGAATCGGTACTTCATACCTTTCATGGCCAGATAATATTCCATTTTACAGCTATTACATCTTTATCCATTTGTCAGATGATGGACATTTGGGTTGTTTCCACCATTCAGCTGTTTTGAATAATGCCTATGTAAATGTTCGTGCACAAAAGTTTCTATGCGGGCATATGTTTTCATTTTTCTTGGGTGTGTACCTAGGAGTAGAACTGCTGAGTGACATGGTAACTCTGGGCAAACCTTTGAGGAAGTGACAGACTATTTTCCAAAGTGGTCGTACCATTTTACTTTCCTACCAGAGGGTGTTTGAAGTTCAGAACAGATTTGGAAGCAGAAGCCCAACGTGACTTAAGATTTATTTCATCACATGTATGGAATGTTGGTGTAAAGCATTACTTTGTGAAGCACTTAGTAACAAGGATTAAATTACATTGGTCAAAGTGAACTTTTATTTCCCTCTTACATGTGTATAAGTTATCATTAAGTGTTCTGTAACATATGAACATGGAGAACACTAACACTGTAGATAAGTGCAGGGACCCATGAGGGAGTGAGTGTAGTCAAAAATGTACTCAGCATGGGAGAATTGTTCTGACATTTTGCTCAGACCCAAACTGCTCCTCAAGAAGATTCAACATTTCTTTCATGGGCAGTTTTAGGAGCAGGTAATTACAATTTATTGTAAAAGTACATAGTAATGGTTGGCACCGATGACCTTGAAGTTTCTTATAGACCTTCCTGATCCCTGAAATGTGAACTAAATTTTTATTACAAACTGCTAAAGACTCTGGCATTGGAGGTTAGTCTGTTAATTGGTAAATTTGGAGTCATTCCGTCTCCTGCTGTGATTCTTGAGAGAATCTTAGTTCAAAGGACAAAAAACCTAATTTAATATAAAACAACGAATAGGGGAAAGTTGGCATGTTAATACAAATATTCAGCTGAAAACCAAAAGGCTTAGCCTGGCAACCAAAACTTGTCTCAACACCTCTACCATATAATATAGTACGGAGCAGGGAGTGACTTGTGAAATTTCCTGCAATTAACTTTGCCCCAAGGCATGCGCTGTGCAATGGATGTACATATTTGTAGTATAACAGCACTTCCCAGTTGAAACTTCAGATTTACACTTCTCATAACCTGCTACCAGTCAGTGTTCTTGTTTCCAGCAGATTTAATCCTCTCGTCCCCCCCCCCCCCCCCCCCCCCCAAAAAAAGACCATTGATTTCTGGTAGCCCATTTTGACTCATGGCCTCTATTGTCATTTGTTTCCCTTTGCCAAGTTTCCGTGCAGTTTGTTGTTTTTATATTTTTATTTTTTTATTTTTTATTTTTTTTTTCAACGTTTATTTATTTTTGGGACAGAGAGAGACAGAGCATGAACAGGGGAGGGGCAGAGAGAGGGAGACATAGAATCGGAAACAGGCTCCAGGCTCTGAGCCATCAGCCCAGAGCCTGACGCGGGGCTCGAACTCACGGACCGCGAGATCGTGACCTGGCTGAAGTCGGACGCTTAACCGACTGCGCCACCCAGGCGCCCCCCGTGCAGTTTGTTCATTCAGAAACTTAGAATTGGTGTGATTATAGTGTAATCACCCAGTAATTTTCAATTTTTTATTATTTAACCTTGCAAGAGAGCTAATTATAGTGGGTAATATGGTTAATTTCCTAAAGATGCTTGTCATCATATGAAGTCACTGAGTATGAAGTTACTATTGTTACTCTTGTGCCATTAAAAGGAGAGTAGCAGATGCCATCACAAAATTGATTCGTTTTGATTTCCTGTGTGATAACATCTTTTTCTTGCTTTCTTTTTTTGTATCCCTTCCTGCTCTTCCAGACACAATGATAAAAGCTCTGGACAATTTAAAATGCAGCCAAGGGGATCTGAATTTTAGTTTCAGAAACAACTGTAATTTTAAAAATTGATGATCAGAAGGAAAGTTCATTAAGCCACAGGTAGCTTTTTAAGCATTCCTACTATTTTCCAGTTCCCCTTTTTCCCAAATAGGTTTTATCCACAGTTGGCTTTTCTACCCACACTCTCGGAGGCCCCGGTACCGCCACCGCAATTCAGCTTTAATTTCTTTCCCACCGTTCTGGGCCATGCATTCTTGACCTCTGTCAGTTGTGTTTCTCTCCGGTTTAATTTTACTCATTTCTCAACTGACTTGGTAAATGACTTATTTTGTGGATTAAGTTGTGGACAAGTAAGGTCAAAGACAATTTTCTTATAAAATTGGGCAGTTTACAATTTTATTCTTTCTCACCTTTAGGGTTGCTAGCCAATGGACTGGATACTCCTCTTATTTTGCTGGTGAGAAAAATCAACATTTGGGAAATTACTTCCCCTAGAGTCGTCTGGGGAGTCAATCACAGACAAATGAAGTTGCCTACAACAAAAGGAGTATTTCAGGGACTTTGAGATTAAAAATAGACAAGAGAAATGAAGTTTCTTTTACTAAGCATTTAGAACAATTTTAAACTATAAGTTTATTTAATAGTACTATACTGTGGGCCTAATGAATTTAAGCTTTCTCCTGCTGGAAATATTTATTCCATCCCTCTTTTCAGT